AAACTGCAAAACACTGCTGAAAGAAATTAAATACAACATAAATTCATCCCACGTTCTGGATTTGAAGGCTTAATATTATTAAAATGTGCTTATTACCCAAAGCAATTTACAGATTCAGTGCAACACCTATCAAAATCCCAATGATGTTTTTTGCATAAACAGAAAAACCAAACCTAAAATTCATATGGAATCTCAAGAGCCCCCATACAGTCAAAACAATCTTGAAAATGAAGAACAAAACTGGAGAATTCACACTTCTTGATTCCAAAACTTACTAATATGTTACTATAATCAAAACAGTGTGGTACTGGCATAAGACAGACATATAGACAAATGGAACAGAATAGAGAGCCCAGAAATAAACTCTCCCATATATGGTCAAATGATTCCTGACAAGGGTGCCAAGACCATTCAAAGGGAAAAGGTCAATCTCTTCAACAAATGGTGCTGGGAATACTGGATATTCACATGCAAAACAATGAAGTTGGACCCTTACCTAACACACAAAAATTAATTCAAGATGAATAAATGTTAAGACCTAAAACAATAAAACTCTAGAAAAAAACTTAGGATAAAAGTTTCATGACACCGGATTTGGCAGTATCTTGGATATGACACCAATGGCACAGGTAACAAAAGAAAAGAATGGAAAATTTGGGCTTTATTAAAATTTTTAAACTTTGTGCATCAAAAGACACTATCAACAGAGTAAAAAAGGTAACCCACAGAATGGGAAAAAAATTTGCAAATTATATAAATGATAAGGGATTCAATTCCAGAATATAGAGAGAATGCCTAAAACTCAACAACAAAAATCCAATAGAAAAATGGGCAGAGGACTTGAATAGACATTTCTCCAAAGACACACAAATGGCTAATAAGCACAGAAGACAATGCATAACATCATTAATCATTAGAGAAAAACAAATCAGAACTACAATGAGATACCATTTCACACCAACTAGGATGGCTACTATCAAAAAAAGAAAAAAAAAGGGTGGTCAAGATGTAAAGAAAATGGAAACCTTATGTACCATTGGTGGGAATGTAAAATGGTTCAGTTGCTGTAGAAAACATTGGCAGTTCCTTAAAAACTTAAAAATAAAACTACCATATAATCCAACAATTCTACTTCTGAATATATACCCAAAAGAACTAAAAGCAGGGTCTTGAAAAGACATTTGTACCCATGTTTACAGCAGTGTTCACAATAGCTAAAACATAGAAGCAACTCAGATGTCCATCAAAAGATGAATGGATAAGCAAAATGTGGCACATCAACACAACAAAATACTATTCAGCCTTTAAAAGAAACAAAATTCTACAATATGGTACAACATGGATTAACCTTGAGGACATTATGCTAGGTGAAATAAGCCAGACACATAAAACCAAATACTGCATAATTCCACTTATGTGAGGCACTTAAAATAGTCAAATCCTTATGACAGAATGTATAACTGTAGTTGCCGGGCACTAGGGAAATGGGAAGTTACTGTTTACAAGACATTACAGGTGGATGATAATGCTGATAATGTCATTACATGACAACATGAATGTATTTAATAACACTGAACTGTACACCTAAAAATGGTTAAGATGGTAAGTCTTACATTATGTACTTTACCACAGTTTTTTTAAAAAGAAAGAAATCCTGCCATTTGCAACAACATGAATGAACCCGGAAGACCTTTTGCTGACTGAAATAAGCCAGACACACAAAAATAAATACTGCATGATTTAACTTGTGTGAGGAACTTAAACTAGTCAAACTCGTAAGAGGAGAGTAGAAAAGTGGTGGCCAGGGACTGTGGGGAGGGGGAAAGGAGCACATATTAATCAAAGGATACAAAATTTCAGTTATACAAGATGAATAAGACCCACAGCATAGTGCCTATAGTAATCAATATAGTATTTTATACTTAAATTTGCTAAAAGGGTAAATTTTATGTTGTGTTTTATAAAAAAAAAAAAATAGTTACAGCAATCTATACCAGTGCTACCAGGCAATAAAAAATGAATTTGTGCACATCTAAAATTCATTCATGAACATCTATGCCTTCTTATGACTACTAATGACTGCAGTTAGTCCAAAGCAAATTCTAGAAATTCTGGTGAGATTTTAAAAGTAAAAGACCAATATGCTCATAAGCCACTTTTGAACATTAGGCAAATTCATTTCTGCAACTCACTGAACTCAGGAGAATGAAATTAAACTTATCAATCTGATTTCAGAGAAATACAGGGAACAAACTTTAAACAAACTTTCTACTCAGGTGGGGAAAAAGGAATGATTCCATTATCTCTAAGTAAGACTGAAAAACATTTGAAATACAACTGTAGCCTGTATACAAAAACAAAATTCTAAACTCCATTTAAAAAGCAGGTAATGTCATATAATATAATATAGGTAGGTCACAGGGAAGACAGTATAGCATGGGAAGATAAGTAATGACTCTATACCATCTTACTATGCTTATGGATAGTGACTGCAATGAGGTGTGGGGGAGAACTTGATAATATGGGTGAATGTTGAAACGACAATGTTGCTCATGTGAAACCTTCATAAGATTGTTCATCAATGATACCTTAAAAAAAAAAAAAAGCAGGTAATGTCAAAGACATGTGATACCAGCTCTAAGTCTGTAATTCTCTTTCCTCTACCAGAAATTAACACTCATTGACTCGTTAGTCACATTTTTTCCCTAACAGTCTCCACAAAGAAAATATTCAACTCATGTTGCTGAACAAATGACTACTATCACAAGAGTTGCACAACCCAAAACCAATCCTGCTACAACTATTAATTTCTGGGCCAGTAACCAAGCTATGAAGTTGAAGTCCTGATTACTGCATAATTATAAAAAGGGAAATTCCAAACCTAGGGAACATACCAATTCTGGAACACTGTGAATACTGTGTGGTCAAAAGAAAGTGGTTTTATTCCACAAGATGACAGCAATAATTCTTACCCTCCAATTCCGAATTCGTTTGAGTCTGTTGGGGGTTTTCTCCAGAATTTGTAGAAATTCATGTGTCAGTTCTACAAATGAAACAGAACATATAAGAAAAACTCAGAGAGGCAGAAGTAATCAAACAAGAATAGCCTCATAAGAACAAAGAAAAAACTGAAGGAACAAAACAGCAGCAGATTCACAGAACCCAAGAATGGACTAACAGTTACCAAAGGGAAAGGGATTGGGGAGGATGGGTGGGAAGGGAGGGATAAGGGGAATAAGGGGCACTATGATTAGCACACGTAATTAAAGGGGTGGGCACGGGGAAGGCAGTATAGCACAGAGAAGACAAGTAGAGACTCTACAGCATCTTACTATGCTCATGGACAGTGACTATAATGGGGTATGTGGTGGGGATTTGATAAAGAGGGGAATCTAGTGACCACAATGTTGCTCATAATAGTATATATTAAAGATACCAAAATAAAATAAAATAAAAGAAAGAATAGCCTCAACTACTTTCATCTGAAGTCACTTTTGGCCAGCTTTGTGACAGATTAAGAGCAAGTATTTGATTTCAAAGTCCCTTACTCTAAAACTTACCATCTAAAAGTTCCAAGGTCACAGTGGCATCAACATACTCCCACCAGTGCTTCCCATCAGTTGAGACTGGGATCTCCCAGTTGGACCACTTGCAAGCCAGATGAATGCAAACACAGGCCACTACAGGAGGTGTGTACTGCAGGCTAAATGTGGTCAAATGTAGGCTGAATCAGAGGGAAGGAAACAAGAGAGTGTCAGAAGCTATCAATTCTGAACCCAAAGTTAAAACTCTCCTTGTTTTAAAAGGGAAGGGGAAAAATAAATAAACAAAACCACCAGAGCAAAAAAGGGTGGAGAAATATCTACTGCTCTCTCAGATCCAGCACTTTTGTAATTTTCATTAACCATCTGAGCAGGTAACAACATTTCCAAATTTTCTGACTACACGTCACTCATTCCACACACTGATAAACAAAAATACCCCAAAATATAAAAAAACAAAACAAAACAGACTGTGTGCTCCATTTGTTTTTTTTTATTCTAAAAGTAAGTTCAGAAATTAAGGAAAATTTTAAGATTTTTGGTGTGTGTAGTCCCTAAATCAAATACTTCAGAAAATCCCCTTAAAATTATTTTGTCTCTTGCCAATCACAGTTCTGGTCTACTTAAAATAATGAATAGACAATCACTCTCTTAAGTGGGAATATGTGTGACAAATGGTGTATTTCACAATCAGGCTACAAAAATGAACTTCTAAGCCCTGACAGTCATCAGGAGTATCTTTGGTTTCCATGAACAACCAATAAATTGGAGATGCAAATGAGCAAGTTATTTGGTAGTACAAATATGTAATAAAAAAATTTTTTAAAGGGAAGGAAGTATTACAACTCCTTCACACATATGTATGCTCACTTATCTGGGAGTAAGGGAAGAAAAAGGAGTCTTTTAAATATCCTAATTATTGCTGAATCCTCCAAATTAAATTTTCAGTCACTGTCAATGAACCCCAAGTTTATCCAAACTTTCAGAATTATGCTCTTGGATATTTTAAAGCAAAGTAACACATGCAGAATTGAGTAAGTTACCAAACAATCAGTAGTACTTAATCACATCATCTTAGCAAATTAAAAAGCACCAGAGGTACAACATGAAAATTGTGCAGAAAAACCAATATTCACCAGAGAGTTATCTCTAACACACTGTGTTAAAGAGCCATGTCTGCATCTTGGGTTTTGGTTTACTAAGTGCCAGATCTAACATTTTTCATATACCTATCAAAAAGTAACAAGTTCAACCCACCATAAACTCCTATCCCAAAAATAGAAGGGAAAAAAAATTAAAATAAAACCTGTTGGTTGCCATGAAGTAAGAAGTCTGTGCCAAGTCCTTGCTTGCTAAAAAAAAAAAAGGGGGTGGGAAAGTAATTATTTCCATTCATTCACAACAATTATTTAGTAAACACTTAATATCTGCAAAGTAAAGAATATAGTGAATGAGGGACCACCTGATGTTTATATTCTACCAAAGGAGACAAATTATAATTTAATTATAATATTAATAATTATGCTGCTTCCAGACTTGGGGACTTATGATTTCTTCTGCACACCAAGTACCTAGGGTACTACTTATTTAAAATGCAACTCCTGGACAACCTCCCTAGAGTTTGACTCAGTATGTTTGGAGGACACAAGCATTTTTAACAGGTAACCCAAAAATCCCGTTACAAGGGTTCACTGAGAAATACTGAACTGGGGGATGATCTAATTTGGAGGCCAAGATCAGAGCTCAGGAGACCTTGACATATTACATATTTGGGAAAAGTGATTTGTGCTTTAAAAAAAATAAATAAAAAGACAAATTTTTAATTGAGTAGTCTGTGATTTAACCCTAAATCATCAAATAACAAATTATTTACTATATTACAATGAAAAATAATCACATTCCTCCTTCAAAAAAACCTGCTCTGGGTGACACAGCAAACCTTAATTCTCCTTAAAATTTACTGTTTTCAATATCACCATACACCCATCTTATTTAACTCTATCCTCCTCATTCAATGTAAACTTTTTAATGCTTTCAAAATATAAAGAACTTGGGAAAACTTTGGGAATTTTCAGATGAAACACACATTAGCAAAATATAAAATAAGGCCAATTATCAGTTTGGTCTACAAAACTATAAAAGGCACTTAAATACACAAAGGTAGCTAGATATTCTTGATACTACTATTTAAATAAAGGAACAGTTTTCATGCAATTATAGCTACTAAGGTAAAATTAGAATAAAAAGAAGTTTCTGCCAAGGGATTGTTAATCATGGAAATAAGTTCAAATAAACTCTAGATGATCCTCTGGATGGCCTGTAAATTAAGATCACCCATTCCAAAGACATCCTTAAAACTGCTACATTTATGATTTGGTGACTTTTCAAAATGTGTCCCCAGCTTTGACAAACATCCTCAAGATGTTCTCTTTAACAAGAGAGCAGCACCTAAAAACATATAAGAACCAACAGGAAACCCACTCATTCTGACTTAAGCCAAGTAGGCCTTTCAATTTAACTTTTGACCAAAGCAGCTATGTTATATATTTTTCAACCTCAAATCATAGCCTCTAAATGGTAAAACAATAAAGAGGCCTCGAAATGATAAAACAATTTAAGACAGCCACATCAAGCTGGGATTTCTTACCTCGAACAAGTTGAGTACACTTCACCACATATGTATGTGGGTGATCAATTGTTAGTTCAAAGCCTAAAAAAAAAAAATACCTGATTAAAAAGCTAGAGATATTTGAGACATTTTATACTTCTTTTTCTCTGAGTCATCATTAAAGGTCTCCCTCAATTTCCTCTCCCAAAATTGCTGTTCAGAGACTAAAAGGGTCACAACAAAGTATGCAGCATGCTCTTCTCTAAGACACATTACCTCCAAAGATGCTTTTATTTTGAGCTAGAAGATACCACTAAGATAAAAAAGCTCATGCAGTCTCAAGACCCCAGAAGAACCAATAATTTCTATCACAAAATTCTAGGGACAATAGAATTTAAGGTTGGAAGAAGCAGTCACTCAAGTGGTAACTTTTAAAGCCTGATCTTAAGAAAACATTTTAAAACCTAGTCTTCTCTTACCTTAGTTTTGTTTCTTTTCGTCATCTTAATTACAATCAGAGCTGATAAGTTTATCCAACCCCAAATGGTCTTTACTAAATGACTTGAGGAAGAATTGTGTATCAATAAAATTTTTCTTAAATTTCTCTTTTTTGCATATGTAAATACAATTTTTACATACAAGAAATTCAATTGAGATATTTGTATGATGCTAATTATTCTGAAAGTATGACTCCTGCAAATTAGATTTTACTGGTTTCTACATTAAAATTTTAATAAAAATTTATTCTACCAGAAAGACATCATTGTCCCCAAAATATGGTTACCTTAAAGATAATTTAAAGTAGAAAGTTAATTAGCAGAACTTAATTTCAGAAACTTTGAAGAACTCTCTGTGTGTATGCAATAAAATACAGCTGTACCAGTAACTTTCCAACTTAAGTCGTGAAAATCTCCCCTACCTAAAGAAGAGAAAAATGATAGCCCAAAAGAAATTTTAAAAAAATAACTTTCTTTTCCATATTTGCTAATCTTTTAAAGGCAGTCTCTCTGATAAAAAAGATAATAATAAAACATCATCAGGGTTGCCAATCAACCACTATAGCTTTTATTCTCCCATTTCCACTCTACTTTCTAAACACTGACTTCCAATTTTAAAAACAAATGCTGTTATAAAATATAATGACAAACTGGTCATAAAAATCCCTGGAGGAAAAAAGTTTAGTTTCTGCCATTATTTATCAGAAGTTAAAAATCGTAAAACCTTAAAAGCAAATCATGAACTTTAGAATGAAAAAAAAAAACTATTAATAAAGTGTAATTTCAAAGGTCAGCTACAAGTGCATTCTTTTTGTGGTATAGGCCAGGGTTAACCTCTAAGCTCTACAACCTTCACAATTTGCAAACACCTTCACAAAAAATTTTCTTCCTGTTTCCTATTTTGCAAATTTTAAAGTTATTATATTACATACTTTTTTTTTAGTGTTTTAAAGGAAAATAATCTTACCTAAAGTCTGTAGAATTATGCTTTCTATTATCACTAGATCTTGAACTTGTTGCAAGTAGGTCTGCAGATGAGAAGACAGATACACAATATATAAAATGTATACAATTCTAACAATCCCTCGCAGAGAAACCAAAGCAACAAAGGCAGGGATAGCGTTAGGAGGTGGAATAAAAACTGAAATAGAATCCTTATGACTAGGTAGTACAAATTTTCCTTTTAAAGGAAAAAAATCAAAGAAAGTGGTATACTGAGAAATAACACTTTATTCATAAACAGCTACAGAAAAAGCACCAAAGATTTGGTTCATTTTCAGACTAACATGTGATATAGACACAAAAAAATTAAAAATACATTTTTTCAACATCATCAAAATACATTTGCAACACTGTAAGCAATCACAAATTTTTGAGTCCTGGTAAATCTTCCTCTTTGGGGTAATGCTAGATTTCTAAAAATTAATAAAACAGTTCAACAGAAAAAGGGAATCAACAAAAAAAAAAATCACTCAGATTTATATACCTACCAATACTGTAGCCTCTATCTACACATGGCTATTGAGCGCTTGAAATGTAGCTACACTAAACTGAAATGTGCTGTGAGTGTAGAATATACACTGGAATTTGAAGATTTAATTTAAAAAAAATGGTGACAATGTAAACTGCATCATTAATAATGTTTTAGTATTGGCTATATGCCAAAATAACAATACTTGGTGTTAACCAAAATATATAAAATATATTATTAAAATTAATTTCACTTTTTTTACATGAAGGTTTCAAATTAATTTTAATGAAAAGTTTGAAATTTTAAACTACATATGTGACTCCTATTATATTTCTACCAGGCAACACTGGTCAAGAAGTCTAGAAGAGTACGACTTGGGTCAAAAGTTAAGAGATCTATGTTTTGGTTAATTTTCTACTTAACTTTATGGTCTCAAATAAGTTTAATAAGGACTTAAACTCTGCTAGTTCTCCTTTGGCATGAAATGAAGAAAATCTCCTCTCCTAAGATTCCCCACCTCATAAGGAATTAAGACTCAGATGAGAAGTTATATAAATATACTTTAAAGAAGAAAAAAAAGTGAGGATGACTTTTTGTTTTACTGTCTTATTTGGTCAGTTCTATGGACCTATGCCATTTACTAATTAAAACTTAAATAAAAGTTCAGAGCAATAACTCTTTCAACAAGAGACAATGATATAGCCCAAAGAGAAAATGAAGACATGGCAATGCAAAACAATTCATATAATTAGGGGCTAATATCCAAAAAAAAGTTTGTCCAATATGTTTAGAACACACAATTACATTTATCTATTTGATAAATAAATATTTATAATTTATGTATCCATTGTAAGCGACCTAAATCATCTAGTAACAGAAATACTTAAATTTTTTCTCCAAGCAATGACAAATGTCAAACCTCTCAATTTCTCACAGCTCATCACTCCCCAATCACTGACTTCTAAAGCCAAAAGAGTTTCTCTTCTTTAATAAAGTCAAAGAAGGATGGAAGGAAAAAAAGCTATGTGTACATGCACAGGATAAAGGTCTGGAAGAATATATACCGGAACCATAATCGGAAGTGTCCTCCTAAGAGGAGGGGAGATGAGCTTTAAGTTTTATTTTAAATGATTCTTAAGTGTTTGGATTCTTTTATAATGTAAATATATAACTTTTGTAATTTCTTAAAAAGTTAAAGAAAAAAATGACTGGGTTCATTTCTTAAAAGAATCTACAATAAAATTTATCCATAAGAATGTTCTTTATAATATTAACAGTGAAAAGTTGGAAATTATCTTCATAGATGATTAAAATATATTTATGTACATAGTGAAATAATATCTCAACATTTAAATAAAGTAGAGAATTAACAAGATGGGAAAATACTTGGGATATAGTAAGTGGAAAAAGATACAAAATATATACATACATAGCTAATCACAGAAAAGCAGGTAGAAATAATAATGGTTCACTTATATATCTGTGGTCCAAATTATACATAAGTGGTGTATTTTCTTGTTTTTTCTGCATTTTCTAATTTTATTATAATAAAAACAATTAACTTTTGTTATAAAATTTCTATGATGCTTTTGTTAAAGAAAAACAAACACTAAAAGTTTAACAGCTCCCATTCAGACTTTAGTAAATCAAAGTTACAAAACTAAGTTAGGATATAAATAAAAAAAGAAAAACAGATATGTATAATTAATCCCCTACCTCACTCCTAGTATCAGGAAGTGATTCCTGTGGATGGAGACAAGTATGTGCTACCTTGATGACGTTTTCCAATTTTTTTGGCTGTTCTTCTATTTTAGCAGCTAGAAATAAGGCTGCTGGGGCCACAGACTGGATGAAAAGAAAATAAATCATATTTATTATTTATTTCTAGATCAAGGTTGATTTAAATAAGAACTAAGTCTCAAACCAAGTTCTTTGCCTCAACTCCATCACCTCTTGCTTAAGCTTTTTCCTCTATTTAAAACGGTTTCCCCTCCTCCTATCTATTAACCCACATCCACTTCCAAAAATCAATCCTTCAACAAACTCTCAATGAAAGCTCTTTATGCAAGAGGCTACTAGATGTAAACAGTCAGCTTTCTATTTGAGATTCCTTAAGTTTGTATCATAGCACTTACTATATATATATATTTTTTAGAGTAAACTGAAAGTAGATTAGTGGTTGCCAGGGGCTGGGAGAAGATGAGAATAGGAGTGACTAATAATGCATGAGAAGTTTCTTTCTGGGGTGATATAAGTTAATTACATTCAGAATTATAAATCTAATTATGGAATTAGATCATGGTAATGGTTATACAACTTTGCAAATATACTAAAAAGCAGTGAAATATACAACTTTAAAAGGATGAATTTTACTGTATTTCATTATCTCAATTATAAATAGGGAAGCACAAATCTTTAAAAGAGGAATTCAAAATGTAGTATTACTATATTCAAGGGGTTTTACATAGAAAGCACTGGAGTGGGGAGGGCTCAAACCAATACACAGGTAGAGAACAAACTCAGTCACTAAACAATGTAAGAAACTAGAGAAATTATGACATAAATGTAACTGTTGGTGATCAGGGAAACCTCAGAACTTCTCCCGAATCTTAGTAAGAATATTTCAATGGATCAAGATGGAAAAGGCAAGAGCCAGGAGTAAAAGAAATGCAGTAATTTCACAGAGGATATCTCCATACTGGAGAACTAACAGATCATTCATTCATTCATTCATTCAAGTTTACTCAAAGTGCTTTGGAGGATACACAGAACAGTGAATCTCTATCCTTGCTAAACTTAACACACAAGAAATAAGCTGTAATTTAAAATGTAAAAGTAGGGAAAGTATATATATATACACACACACACACACACACACACACACACACACACACACACACAAAGTGGACAAATTGGTTTGCAAGTATTTCATCCTGGATTTCAAATCTTTAACATAACAAAAGGGCATAAATGTAGAAAACTTTCACAACTGGCAAGACAGCTTGTAACCAGAGGTAGGGCATAGCTAGAGGCAGAGGGTCTATGGGTAAAAGAAAGTCAAACTGACTGTATAATCAGGAAAAATCAGGAATACTTAATCCACAATCCAAAGGGTTTCCTGTGTAGTTACTCCCAATACTGAGTCTGTCAATATCTTAAAAGAGTAATATCTAGCTTCACAGATTCTCTTCCTATGGGATTAAAAAAAGAGCACAAACCCATCAGGCTAAGGATAAGCCTTAAACACTTCCTCAGAACAACCTTTAATAAAAAAGAAGTATTTGAGTCACAAATCCATATGAAGTATTTATCAAGTTTACCTCTACCACCTTGTGATTCAATTAAACAAATATAGTCTTACCTTCAACTGAGATATCACTATGCTTGCTTCCAAGTCACTTATAATAATGTTAAATAGGACCATTTCAGGTAGCAAAACTGAAAATAGCACTATTTACAATTCTGTCCAGAAAAAAAAATCCCTTTATTACTATTGTTTTATTTTTCCTGTCTTAAGTGTCATCCCCCAGTCATCACATAACATACCTTTCCTTCCCTCTCCAACCAGGCACTGATTGGAATTTTACCCAATTTTAGAAAATCTAAGTAACTTACATTCACTCATTTCTTTATGACCATATTATTTACTACTTCAAAAACTACATTTAAATTAAGCTTAGTTGCTCCCGACCCAAAAATGTTAAGTTTAAATGTTCAACAATTCATTTCTTTATTAGAGAATCCTCCTACTCTAAGATACACTAAATCTACCAAACAACTGCTAGACACTGGATTCATAACAGCAGTGTGACACATAATGAAAGCAGTCAACACTAAATTCTAAACTTCAAATTCCAGTTCAGCAGCAAAGATCAGCCACAAAAGAAATATGAAGTTAGAATCAACCATGAAAGAATTACACTATATAAAAAAAACTCATACTTACATTTCGATGGAACTGTGTAAAGGACTGAATCATGTAGAATCGATGCATGTATACTATCGCAGTGTTGATAGTCAACTGCGAACTAAAAATGTTCAAGTTAAGGTCTCAAAACAAACAGACTGTACAACTCCCAAAAATACAACCCCTACATCTTCCCAAAAGGACCATGCAGCCAAGCACAGCAGATGCTCCTAAGTGAAAATCATAGATCTCTCTCCAAATTAAAGAGCAAGTTGGGTTGCTTTCACCAAATCACTAATCACCAACTGACATTAGCAAAATGCCTTACACATAACAGGTATTCAATATAAATTTACTGAGTTAATATATGAGCAAGCTTCTCAGCATGTGTGGATCAAGAAGGAATATAAACAAAACTAAGATCTAAATCTACTACTTGCCTACTGAAAATGCTGCAAAGGTGCTCCATTAGCTCAGTATTATCTCTTCACATGATTTACAACCCTTTCCCTTATCTGGCCCCTAGGTATTTCTTCACTATTACCTCACCTTCTAAGCTCCAGCAATTAACTTTTCAGTTGCACTTCACTCACAACCAAGCCATCTCATAAGGTGATCCCTGGGACCAGAACTACGATGAAATAATTTGATATTCACTCCCTAAAAGAAAAAAAATTTAATGCCTTACTTCTAAAGACCTCAGAAGACAATGTGGCGTATTGAGATGAAGCAGTCTGAGGACCACAACGACCTTAATAACAGTAACACACATAAAAGAAAAGAGCTAGGATGCACTGAAACTGAACTTCTAACAAAAAGCTTAACTGACTCGATGCTTGGGAAACAAATTGGGTATCAGCAATAATGAGGACACCTCCTTGCAGGTCAGCACAACTTTAAGACAAACATTACAGCCAGTAACACATTTAAATGGAAGTTGCACTCAAGAATAATTTTTCACTTCCAGACTGGAAAGAGTTCTAAAACTTTACTCTCTCTGCTACAAAATTAATTATGTTTTCGACAACTTTCTGACAAACAAAAATACCTGAAGGGGAAAAAAGTACTAGAATTAAAATCTAAATCACTAAAAATAAGTCACTAAATTACCTCATCTTTGAAATATGACGAAAACGAATAGATTAGCACTCAGGGGAACTTAAAAACCAGTAAGTACTTCCTAAACCGGTTTTTAAAACATTAGATCTGTAGGTCTACATTTCTACAAATCTATAAACTGACACCCTTCCTTCCTCTGAAATTCTATAAAACTGAAACGGTAACTACTTTTTGAATATTTAAGCGTGAAGCACTATGGTGGGCCCAGAAATCAAACCCAAGAGATACCACCCCATTTTACAGACAAGAAAACGAAGAATCTGACAAGTTTCTTGAACAGCCAGTAAATAAGAGGACAGATTTTGAACAATGGTGGCGCATTACTTTCAGGCCACCCTTTATAATATCCTCAGGAACTGAATTTCTCAAAAACTCTCTTTACACACTAAGCGAAAGCAGCAGCCATCAACAGTGAAACCTCCACGAAATCCCTAGGGCATAGCGGAGAAGCCGAATCTCAGTTACCAGACCAGGAAATCAGAACATACCGAAAGGGACTAGGAAGAGCTGGTTTAACCACTAAACCGAGAGGGATACGAATTCCCAGCAAGGCTGGTGGCACGGGTGAACGAGCGGGAAATTAACTCTGCCTCGCTTCCCCCGCGCGAACACTGAATTTCAGCCCGCCCCGTCGTAGGCTCTCCCACCTAGACATCCAGCCCCTGCCCACCCTCTCCCGGGTTCCGACCCTGACACAGCCTCAGGCCTGGACGCCCGAGCAGGGCGGGACTGACTCCAAGGCTGAAGGCCTAGGCCGCAAGGATACACATTAAGTCGTTGCCCCATGTCTTGGAGCAGATTGGCCGCCTGCTGGCGGTATGAAAGTTCTTTATCTGCGTCCAGGCCCAAACGACGGGATGGGCTGTTTTCCAGCTGTTCTCGAGTAAAATACCACCGTTTGTTGTTGTTCTTTCTCTCTCCCTCCATAGTGCTTCAAGCAGAAGGCAGCGGCGAAGGCTGCAAACACTTTTCAGCGTCACCTAAGCAGCGATAAACATCCGCTGTGCGGGAGCAACTGCGACGTGACGAACTTCCGCGAAGGCTAGGCTATGTGACACGCTTCCGACAAGCCGTGACAACTAAACGGTCCACTTCCAGAATGGACCTCGCGACAGCCTGTAACCGAGGTAACAGCCAGTAGGCGACCAGGAAAGACCTTGGGTCGAGGACGCACGCGCCAGTCACGTGATCCTTGGGAGGTAGGGTAGGGCTAGAAGTTATCGTTCAAACCCCGCCTCCTCGCGCGAGAACTGGCTCGAGCCTTCGCGCCCTGGGCGAGGTGGGTAGGGGAACTCTCGTGGCGGGGTGAGGCGCCCGCCCTCGCGCCGCTTGGCGGTTTCTCCGAGTACTTCGTTTGTGGAGGAAGTGGAGATACAACGTGGCGGATGAAGGACTTGACAGTGAAAATAGGTGAGACTGTCAAAAACTAAAAACGGTAGTCTAAGAGAGTGGCCCTGCCGTATAATCGTTACATAAAGCAACTAGAAGGCTCTTACGTAATGTTGTAGCAATTTAAATTACCGCTTTGAAAAGCCTCTTACAATATGTAGCCAAAGCCGTGAAAAACATACGTTCCTTGGCCGCAGTGACTCAATGTAATGGAATCAAATTAATAGCACTAATTTACCGCTTACCATGTCTCAGGCACAATACCAACTTAAATGTACTATTCGTTTATTACCACAACCTCAGGAGGTAAGAGTATTTTAATCCCTGTTTTGCGGACGCGTGAAGTGAAACTGCTCTTTCAGTGTGGAAAGCTCTCCTCACCACCCTGCACATGCACGTATTTGTAAATTCGTGTCCTTAGATGTATCCTACCTCCAACGCTTGATGGTTGTTTGATTCTGGACAAGATATTTAACCGCTTTGTGCCTTTTGTATAAGTGTAAGTGATAACAGTTTTAGGTTGTGAGGAGAAATAAATGAAGATTTAATGTGTGGAACACATTTGTAATATAGAAAACATTTAGTAGATCTTAGCTTTTATTACGTCATATTGAAATGCCTTCTTTTTTGTATACCTAGTACCTACCTACTACAGTCCTAGCCCAGTCAATAAATATTTGTCAAATAAATGCTCACAACACCCTACAATAAAGAAACTGAGGCTCATGGAGATTACCTGTTGTTTGGCCTACACTACACTGCTTATTAGTGTAGATTTTAAAATCAACTAATTACATTGTTCATTCCAGTCTAGCAAACTATTCTCGCTATTCTAGAACACTCCATTTACCTTGATTAAATTTGTATAATATTAGAATCCTTTGTCTTTTATAATATTTTGAGTTTTGTCATTTCTAGCTATAGCTGCTCCCACCCAGTAAATTTAATTCTAATTCTCAGAAGTATTTCCTTCCATTTCAGGCCCTCCTCTGCCATATATTGCCTACAGTAAGCATTAGCTCCATATTCCTCTGGAAAAATTGAGGCTTAGGAAGATTTAAATTACTTCAGGTTCTAACATTAAAGAAACTTGGGATTTAAAACTTCTTCCATCATAGACTTCTTTAATAGAATAAGCTCTTTTTCAGTCACTAGTCATGTATGTTGTCTTTTAAACAGCCAAAGTTATTTCCCCCAGATCCCCCTTGCCTAATTCTCTAAGCTGTGTTTGGTTCTCCACTTAATCTCTTGAATTGATGACTCCATTTTGAATTTACTTTCCTGGCTGAGTATGCCAGTCTCCCAAGAAAAAACTCTGATATCTATCAAGCTTCAAGCAATTCAGCTGCTAACCAAGGCTTGCTACCCTGCCATACAGAAAGGGGAACCTGTGTAATCAGAAAAAGGAAATAGTCTTTGACTGAAGATGAAATACTTGAAAGTAGGTAGCAGTTATAACATAATTGCTAAACATGAATTTTTGAGTCAGGCTTGAATTCAAATCCCAGCTATTTTTTTTTAAACCCTCTTAACCATTTTTAAGTGTTCAGTAGTGTCAACTTTACTTTTTCATTTTGCGAAACTGAAGCTCTATACCCATTGAACAACTCCCCATTTCCCCCTCACCCCAACACTGACAAACCCCCATTCTACTTTCTATGAGGTTGATTACTTTAGATACCTCATATATATTTGTCTTTCTGTGACTGGCATATTTCACTTAGTATAAAATATTCTCAAAATTCCCAGCTATTCATTAAACTAGCTATGTGATTTTAATTGTCATGTCTGCATCCAGACAGAATACCATCTGGCACATGGTAGGTGTTCAATACATGTTTATTGTCAAAATAATAAGAATCTTCTACATTACCCTTGAAGAACAATTGACAATATCTTAAACCAGAGGAATTTTCCCTTTTTTATTAAAATTTAAATAGGACTCCATTTCTTATAAATAAGGCTACTCTTCCTATTCACCAGATTTATCTTGTTCTGGGCATAGGATT